CATCCTTGACCACCGAAGGGTCAAGACGTACCTGGCGCTCCTCTCGGAGCAGCCAGGTCAACTGTTAAGTTGGCCCATACCAACCCCCTCCCCTGAACCACTTCTTCCCACCGGAGTATCAACAGGTTCTCGCCAGAAGTTACAATTTCATTTGGGAAAGGAATGGAACCAGTGTTAAACAGAGGTGAACATTGGTGAACAGTGCTTGAGTCAGTGAGAACAACTCAACAGTAAAAGTCGTATTCAAGTTAACCTTCACACAGTGAGGTCCCAGGTACCCAGTGATAACGGCCCGTGAGACCCAACAACCGGCGATGTGTTAATCCGTCTACGATAGGAAGGCCTGGGGCCACACCTCACTCGTATAACACCATCTGTGAGGGAATTACTACACCACGTCAAGTCCCTCATAACACCATCTGTGAGGGAATTACTACACCACGTGATGCCCCTCATAACACCATCTGTGAGGGAGTTACTACACCACATCAAGTCCCTCATAACACCATCTGTGAGGGAATTACTACACCACGTGAGGTCCCTCATAACACCATCTGTGAGGGAGTTACTACACCACGTCAAGTCCCTCATAACACCATCTGTGAGGGAATTACTACACCACGTGATGCCCCTCATAACACCATCTGTGAGGGAATTCGTACACCACGTGAGGCCCCTCATAACACCATCTGTGAGGAAATTACTACACCACGTGATGCCCCTCATAACACCATCTGTGAGGGAATTACTATACCACGTCAGGCCCCTCATAACACCATCTGTGAGGGAATTACTACACCACATCAGGTCCCTCATAACACCATCTGTGAGGGAATTACTACACCACGTGAGGCCCCTCATAACACCATCTGTGAGGAAGTTACTACACCAAGTGATGCCCCTCGTAACACCATCTATGAGGGAACTACTACACCACGTGAGGCCCCTCATAACACCATCTGTGAGGGAATTACTACACGTGAGGCCCCTCATAACACCATCTGTGAGGGAATTACTACACCACATCAGGTCCCTCCTAACACCATCTGGGAGGGAGTTACTACACGACATGTTTGCTGTTCAACTCCTACATTAATCTGAATGTTCACTGTATGTTCCTTTACCTTTCTCTAATGAAGGCTTTTGTTAAACCACCAATGTATGTAATAAGTCATTTATGTCCAATGTATATTTTCAGCCTTCGGGCTGCAGAACTTTTTCAATAAACCGTTAATTATTATTGTTATTATTATTATATACATACATACATATATATATATATATATATATATATATTATATTATATTATATTATATATATATATACTGTATATATATATATACAGTAGTACCCCGCTTAACGCGGTCAATTGAACCCACAGGGTACCGCGTTAAGTGAAAACCGCGTTAAGTGAACAACAGAACATATGGGATTAATTCAAATAGAGACTGGCCCGACCCCCAAACTCCACTTTTTGACGACACACAACTATGTTGTAGTAAAAATTTTATCTTAACTTTATGATGGTATGCACACACAATTAATAATTAAGAGAAATATCAATAATATTAGGTTTTTTAACACTTGCATTAGTAGAAAAGATGGCTGGGCACACGGGGATGGGGGGTTGGTTCCGAGGCAGAGGGCAGATTATTGGCCCTCACCTGTATCACTTGTATCAATTGTATCACTATCCACCACAGAGGCTTGCAGGGCCTCTTTGTCACACCCCTCAAAGGCCATATAAGTCCATAATACTTCACTATAATTATCACTATCACTGACTTGGGCCGGCTGTGGTGGAATTGGCAGGTGAAGAACCAGTAATGTTTGATGACTAGATGACCTTGTGCGCATCATTATATCTTCCGTATATGTTGAAATTAAATTGAGGCACGTTAAATATATATATATATATATATATATATATATATATATATATATATATATATATATATATATATATATATATATATATATATATATATATATATATATATATATATATATATATATATATATATATATATATATATATATATATATATATATATATATATATATATATATATATATATATATATATCTATATATATATATATACAAAAAATAAATGTTAAATGAATTATTTATGGTGCATTAGAGGTCTGGTCACTTCAGACACAAAGACGGGCTATAAATAGCCTTCTTTATCTCCCCTCCATCTCACCCTGAGCCAGAGGGAAGGGGTGGTGGTAAATAACATTTGTTTGCTTATTTTCCATTTACTTGAAATAGATTTACTGAATTATTTGTTTATTTATTTAAAAGTCATTTACTGAATATTCTATGTAAAAAATAAATTTTAAATTAATTATTTATAGGAGATAAATATTATGATCAGTAAATATATGGTATTACTGGCCACTTCAGACACAAAGACGGGATAAAAATAGCCCATCTCCCCCTCTTCTTACAGCTGCCAATGGGAAGCGTCTTGGTAATTAAATTTGATGTTTATTTTCATTGTCTAATTTATCATGTATCAAAGTAATATTACTAAAAATTGTGTAGGTAGTAGGCAGCTACCAAACAGGTAGATACTACCGCCTGGGAAGATATTGGAAGCATAATGTGTTGTCTAATGGTAGACCCTGCTGCCATATGGCATCACAAAAATTGTGACCAAGTCCCAGGTTCAGCGCTGACCTGACTTTCTGCCTCATTTACACACAATTGCAGTTTCAATTGTTCCTCTAACTTTGACAACACAACATACATACAGTATATTATTTCTCACTTATGATCTTTTTTTTTTACTTTTTGTATTTATTTATGGTTAGTTACTTAAAATAAGGCCAATTCACTTCAAGTAATGGCATCAAATGTTACCAGCTGGTGTAGTGTAAACACTAGTGACGTCACTTAAGCGTCTGTATTTAACTGTCAGTCGTTTCAAGAATTAATGCAGTCATTTACTGAATATTCCTTGTAAAAAAATAAATTTTAAATTAATTATTTATAGGAGATAAGTATTATTATCAGTAAATATACCGATATGCATTACTGACCACCTCCACTGCTAAAAATAGCCCAATCTCGCGGTCACTTTCCCTTTCTTGTCTCCTCACTGGCAAATGGGGGGGGCGTGGGGAGGGGTGTGTGATGATAGCTGTGTTTATTACAGGGGTATAATTCTCTTTTACGGTATGTTAGACAGGTTTATAATACATTTTTATTATTTTAATATACTGGTAATCTTAATTTGAATCCAGCTTGCCAAACGTAAGTTTCAGTATAAAATAATTAGTGGTAGGACCTTGTGAGTGGCTTATGATGTTTCCATCACCACTCTTGACACACTAAACCACAATATTTAAGAGGTAAGAATTTTATACTTGGTGATTAAGACGACCCCCTAACTTTGGGCAGATTTTTTAATGTTCAAATTCCGTCTTATAAGCCGAGATATATATATATATATATATATACAGCTAAGACCCACAACTTACAGCCCAGGGGTTAGGGACCCAAATCCAGGTCATAAGTCCGAATGGTCGTAAATCCGACATAGATTAAAAAAAAAAATTTTTAATAAAGAATCTACAATGAAATACAGTACAGTAAAAGTAATAAATAATGAGGAATGGATACAGTGTGACTGAGCACTTACCTTTAATGTACAGTAGTCAGCTGAATGCACACAGGGCCCCCATAATTTTCTAATTATACATGGAGTCTACATTAACTGAAAACGTTTCGGTATAGAAAGTGCATGCGTCATTTGAAGAAAAAAAAAAAAAAAAAAAAAAAAATTAATAAAAAATCTGAGGCGGTCGTAAGTCTCGACGGCCGTAAGTCGAAGCAGTCGTAAGTCGGGGTCTGTCTGTATATATAAACCCCTCAACCTGCCAGGATTCGAACCCACGGCCCACGAGCCCAAGACTGTGACCAGGGAACGCTACCTCTGGACCACCAGGATACTAAAAGCAGTCCTAGACTCTGTTATATTTCACACGAAGCCTGATCAACGAGCTTATGGCGCTGTGAACCTCTAATGGGGACTACCCGTATCACGTAGGTGGTCAAAGTAACGTTTTACCAAATCCGGCTACGAAACACAAGGATCCAAGATAATATTATAGTTATCACTTATGGGTTCTTCAATAAAAAAAATTACCCAGTAATGTACAGTCAGTTCTGCTACAACGCGATAGGTGCATTCTTATTAAACCTCGCGCTGTAGAAATTCGCTCAATAAAAATACCAAGGCTTACGGAGAAAATAGGGTTAGGTGCAGATTACTTTGGCCGTGATCCCACAGATTTACTAGCACTCGAGCTTGTTCCAGCAATACGTAGTGTTATAGCCTTTCTTTTACATTCACCACCGGCAATTTGATCGCCAGAACTCTTTTTGGAAACATTCTTCTTACCTTGTCTTTCCCTATTCATGGCTAACACAACAAAATTGGAGAAAACAGCAAAAATCACGGACACTTCACAGAGTAATCGACAGAAACCGCGCGATTTAAAGGATCTTGTGATGTAAGCAGAGAGTGCTGGTGTAGACCGTTATTACTTAGCACTGCAAAATTCTTTTTAACTTATTCTTTTCATACAGTATTTATGGGTAACAGCTAAATATGCAAAAAAAAAAAAAAAAAGAACGAAATTTACAGAGTACCTCTCCAAAAACACTTCACAAACAAGACATGAATCAACTGTACACGTGATGTCGAACGTGAACTGTAAACATTGCGTAACCCCGCGCCACGCTACACTTAAAATGTTGATGGAATCGCTTCATAGGCAACATTTGTATGCAAAAGTTACTTGTTTTACAAACAGCATTCCCCTATTCATCATTCGCGTTACAAACAATTCGCGTTGACAAAACAAGTGTTGTAGCAGAAATGGCTGTACTAAGAGGTGTCGCAGATTTTAAATGTTACTCCTCAAAGGGTTAAGTCAAAGTAGCTAAAATAAATAAATAAAATTGCAACTAAAAACAGGACCAACTTGTAATAGAGGCTCGGTATCAGATGAATCACCAGGTGACCGCTTGGGTGTGTCAGTAATTGGTCCGCCGCGTTGTGTGGGGATGCGGTGGAGGTAACCGTACCCAATGCCACAACCCAAGCTGGTAAGAAATAAATCATAATACAGTAATACAAAGATCAAAAAAGTAGTCCACATTATATTCCAGTTATCCTACATTAATTTTTTTTGTTTTATCTTCATGAACTCTAGGGTAGACAGTAACATACACAGCTTACTTCAACTACTGCAGCAAAAATGCATCTCTAAAGTCTTCTTCAATTGCTTCCCTTGACAGGGATTTGCCTAAACTCCATCTTGAACTAACCAATGCACCAACCCTAACCAATGCATCTGATTTTAATTCTCAACTCGGATAAACTCACCCACATAGCTAGTATCTCTTCTCATCATTCGTTCATCCAACATCTTCACTATCTACACATTAAAGTTAATTGAACCAAGAGGATACGCTATTTCTAATCCTAATTTCCATTTTCACCGCCTCATACATCAGCTAAAGTAAAGTAGATCAGTAAATGGCCCTCACCTTCCTGATCCTCCCCACTGAGTGTCGGGTGAGACAGTCACTTCTCTACAAGAATCTGTCTCCACATTGTAAACATAGAGCTTTAAGGGTCGGCCCTCATGTGCCTCTATAAGGGAGAACAAGTCTTCACTCTCATGTAGGACAGAGTCAGCACCAATTATGTAATCTTTGTAGGATTGAAGGCCAGCAATGTCAGCTGGGGAGTTAGGTTCCACTTCCTGTGTCAAAATAACATCACCATTAATTCAAAATCTCAACACTACACCTCTACTATTATGTTCCCCAATTAGTTACAAAATTTTTACTTTGGAAAATTTAAACTGCAAAAATATTAAGTAGTTTTTTTTACAAAATAGTAAGTGACTGACAGGTCAAACTGAACCCAACCTAATAGGACTGTATTTTTAATTGAACTGAGCAATAGGATTGGGGCTTTAAGGGGCCCCAGTCCACAGGAGCCCTAATCCTAGACTTAAGTTTTAAACTGGAGCCCATTTGATCTGCAACCTTAATATACTGTATTACTACTCACACACACTGTATATATCACATGAATTCAAATCCCAAATTAAGTACATAATAAGAAAATCCACGAAAGCATTATACAGTAAAAGTCCAAAAATCCGGATGCCAGAAATCCGGACCACCTGAGAATCTGGACTTTTCGAAGACTATTTTTTTTTAGCTGGCTTTTGTGTATGAGCGCATGCATGAGCGTCACAGCTGCACAGCGACAACAAGCGATCACGCGGTCGCCACTTTAAGACGAGCAATCAAATTGTGACAATGTATGTAATTAAGAATCTTACTCTTTCCATTTACTGAGTACTGTACAAGCCCATAATAATGGCTCCTAAAGTAGATAAACTTCGTTGTGTGAAGAGAAAGAAGAACACGTTGAAATTGAGTGACAAACTTGAAATAATTAAGAAACTAGAACGTGGTGTGAGCAATACTGTTCTAATGGAAACATACGACATTGGAAAGTCTACAATTTATGATATAAAAAAGGCCAAGATTAAAATTCTAGAATTCACAGCTTTTTCTTTAAAACTGCTCATTTTGATAAATGAAGCATGCTATATTTGCTAATGAATAAACTAATGAATAAATTATCAAAATGTACCTGTTCATCTCTTCTTTATTCCTCCTTAAATTTGAATTTTAAAAGTACTGCCTGAGAATCCGGAAAATCCGAAAATCCGGACCGACCCAATCCCCAAGCAGTCCGGATTTTTGGACTTCTACTGTAATATGAACTACAATTGGTTAAAAATTTCTAATTTCTACAAAACAAAAAGAAATAATTAAAAACCTAGCAGTTGCTAAACTCTAAGCTTAAATAGAAAAAAAAATTAAGTTAGCAGCGACAATTTCTCACTTTTAGTCGAGTCACACGCGTAATATTAACCTCGTGTCACTCACAATAACTCTTTTAAAAGTACGAGACTATTATTCTAATCTATACAAAGTCAACCGATCATAAAACAGTAAGATTGTCAATGTTAAAGCTTGTATTACAAGAAGCACAAGATTTTCATACAATTAAATCATATTCACATCTTGATCGTATAATAAAGTGAAATCATCCACGAAACACACACTACTATATAACCTTTGGCAACATGATGAAAGTAGTCATTTTCTTTCTAATTCCAAAATATTTTTCGTCTTTATTTATTTTTTTTTTTACGGGGATTAGCCCACCTGGGCACAGATCACTGACCCACATCGGGGCTAAGAGGCAAAGAACCAAAGAAATACAAAAAACGAAAATAAAATCTAGAGTGAGAAACAATACAGTAAAGCCTCGAATAATGATTGTAATGTGTCCTCCAATATTGCGAATCATTAATTACCATTAAAATAAAGCAATAATAATGAGATGCATTCCCAAGTGTGACCTTTTCATATCTTTTGTGTAGCTTTTTACCCTCTTTCCCCCCAAAAAAAATAATACAATTAATGAAAATTGCAAACTATATTCTTTAAATAATGTTCCTGAATGCACCTTATACAATATAAATTAATAATAATATGGTCACACAAGAGGAGATGGGACGCCATTGTTTTCGTTTGTGTTTACAGCCGGGAGTCCGGGACAATAGTTATACACGAGAAAATAAGACCCTGGTTGAAGCTGTAGCAAAATTAATGTAAAAAAATGAATATGTATATCTGAACTGTATATGTTTTAAGTAATATTATTTAATGTTAATAAATGGAACAATAGAAGTAGCTAACCATTAATGGCAAAGAAAAAAAAAAAAAAGAGATGGATTGGGAACACCAACATATACAGTGGTCCCTCGGTTAACGAATTACCTTCCATAAGAATCTTCAATTTGGTTAATGAACAAAAATTCAATTAACGAAATCCTTACGAAAATCACGTTTTGTTGTGAGCATCAGCTGGTCAGCAGATGGCCCAGTCTGCCAATTCAGTAATCTGTTCTATGTTTACATTCATTTTCAATGGAGTAAATATCAATAAAGTTGAGCTTTTTAATATTTTTGCATGTTTTATATTAAAATTATTAGTCATTTTAACATTTAACATATTGATAATATTTGCAGTACAGGGAACTAGTTAGTTGTGCACCCATCAGATACATGATTCGCTCACAAGGCGTCAGTTAACATACAGTTGAGTCTGGATTTACACGGTTTTTGTTTACGTGTTTGGTCATTTACGCAGTGACTTGCCAGAATGAAATGCTTTAATTACGCGGTAAATTTGGTCATTCACGCTGGTGAAGTATAATTTGTTTATTTACTGAAGATATTTGTTTTAGCTCATAAAATTCATACAAATTACCCGACCAGAATATAATTTACATTGCTGGAATTCTTATAAGATTGTGATTATTTTAAATATAAACATCATGGAATTTGCATTCGACATACAAATTTTAGATCTAATGTAAGAATATTGATTAGAGCCAAAATTTTATCTTCTGTGCAAAATATATGATGTTTATATTCAAAATATTCCTGGTCTTGCAAGGAATCCAGCAATGTCAATTATATTATACCCTACCTTTAGTCTGAGGTATTATTTATTACTAAACATGTAAGCCTAGTGTTTTCACCCAAACATTTCTCAGAGAGGGAGGAGCCAGCGAGCGTGGGAAGAGGGGGGAGTTGAGTCCATTATTTGAATGGACATTAACCGGTGACTGTATTTCTCTTACATATTAATTGTGTGCATACCATCATAAAAATAAGATGTTATTTTTACTACAATGTAGGTATTGAGTCGGAAAAAGTGGAGTTTGGCTGTCGGCCCAGTCTCTATTTCAATTAATCCCATATTTTCTGTTATTTCTGTTGTTTCTCGTTTTACACGGTACTCCGCGGGTTCAATTGATCGCGTAAATGAAGACCCAACTGTATTGATAATATACAGTGCAGTGTTGATTTAAAGAAAATAATCTTGAATTACACCCAGTGAACTTAAAATTTTATTGGTGAAATGACGGCGTCAAGCATGGGGTGATTTCTCTTCCATCCCCACTTCCTTCTCTTCTCCCTTCTCCTCCACCCCCACTTCTAATTCCTGTCATCATCATCATCATCAGGATCCTTCTACATACACACCTCAAAGTAAGTATACTTTATGCATTTTTTTTTACTTTGTATGTACTTTTCGGTGAGCTGGAACCAATTACCCAATATCCCATTGAAACAATGCATTCGGTTAACGAACAACCTTCTGGAACAAATTATGTTCGTTAACCGAGGGACCACTGTACATGTGCATTTAAGGATATCGCGTCATCTATCTTTTTAAGAAATGTACAAAAGATTCATTATTGGTTATTTCCGAATATGTATTTGCTAGAGTTAATCTTTATACTGTACAGTAAAACCTCGATTAACCGATCACATATGGGGGGAAGGGGTCGACGGATAATCCAAAAGGTCGGTTAATAAAAAAATAAAGTATACGGAAATAAAACATACATTTTCAAAGTACCTTTCCCTAACCTACCTCATTTAAGTCCCTCTATTCATTTTTGTTCATTTGCCATTCCTATTTCAATAGAATTTGCTTTAAAACATTAACCACTTTAGTAAATAAATATGAACCAGCACAGAAACCGTGAATAAAAATTGGAAAAGTCAAAGAACATATGTCATCACAAAAATTGTGACCAAGTCCCAGGTTGCTGATCTGACTTTCTGCCTCACTTACACACAATTGCAGGGTCTCAATTGTTTCTCTTACTATTGACAACACAACATGCATACAGATACATTGTTCCCCACTCTTAATTTTTTTTTTCATTTTTGCATTTCTTTATGGTTCTTTATTACTATTATTATCATTATTAATATTATTACATTATCGACCCCCAGGCCCCGATGTGGGTCAGTGACCTGTGCCCGGGTGGGCTAATCCCCGTAAAAAAAAAAATAAAATAAAAAAATAAAAAAATATACAGGGTATATATATTTTCTTAGGGGTCCGGGATTGACAGATAATCTGAAAGTCGGTTAATCGAGGTTTTACTGTATATGCAAAATGAACAATACAATTCATTAATAATACGTAGAAAATTAAAACACACAAGAGGGGGAATTGTTGTCAGTGTTTACACCCAAAATGTCAGTTAAAATAATGTAAAAAAAACATGTATGCTTTAATTAATGTAGAACTAACCACTGATATTAAAGAAAATAAGTGTGACTGATAGTGGAACGCCAATGTATACAGTACGTGCGCATTTAAGAAAACAGTCATTTATCTTAAGAATATGTACAAAAGATTCATTATTGTTTAATACTGAATATGTATTTGATTGAATTAATGTTTATATATGTGAAAAGAACAATGCAATTCAATAATAATACGTAGAATATTAAAACACACATGAGGAGACAAGACGGCATTGTTTTCGTGAGTGACGATGGTTCTACATAAGAAACTGAAGAAAGTAAGACCCCGGTTGTAGCTGTAGTGAACTTAATTTAAAATAAATCCAATACCTGTAAGTATGTTTTAAGTAATGTTATTTAATGTTAATAAATGGAACACTAGAAGTAGCTAACCACTAATGGTAAAGCAATAAAGCGAGACGATTGGGAACACCTACATATGAACAGTAAGTGCGTACATGTGAAAACATATCGTCATTTTTCTACATATGAATATGAAAGCAACACTTATTTACTGTTCATATATGTTTTAAATAATATTTATGAATGTAAAACAAAAATTCTACCCACCAATGGTGGTAAAGTCTAAAACACAAGGACAGCCAATGAATATTGTGCGAGTTTTTACTCAGATGACGAAGTCATCAGGTTCAACTCTGGCTGAAGCTGTAGCTTTCCATAAAGCTGATGCTGAACCTGAAGTTGATGTTAAAGCTGTTTACGATGCTGAATTTGATGGTTTAAGCCTTCGAATAATAAAGCTGTGGAAAGAACCTTGCACAGCTGCTTTCTTTTCTCACTATTCATCTTTATGTAGAGGTCATTTGTGTTTATTTAAATTTTAATGCCTTGTTCTGTTAATGGATCCACTTCAGAAAATATGTTCATTACTTGCTCCATATAATATTCACATACCTCTCACCTTTTTCATATCGTTTTAACACATTAGTTTCTCGGCTAAGCTTATACACTTTCTATTAGCTTTTGAAACAACACTAACATCACTTGCTCTCTTGCTCATGTTGAATAGGGATGCAAAAATGCTGTATGAAACCTGAGAAAGTTTTTCTCCAGTTCCAGTTGCGTGAAAACAAAAGGCCCGCCAAGCTCCAACTGTTGTTCACCACTCATTAGCAAGGCAGCTTCTTTGTGCAAGGCGCTCTTAATTTTTTTTTATAATACATATCGAGATTTAGTTATTATTTATATGAAAATGTATTTCTATTTTATTTTTATTATATTTTAGTCTTAAATACGAATGAAATAAGGACGTAAATTGAATTGGGTCCTAAATTAACCAGGGTCTTAAATATGAAAAGTTGTTGGTCGAACCGTTGTTATCGGAGGCTTTACTGTACATGTACAGTATGTTGTGTTGTCAAAGTAAGAGAAACAATTGAGACCCTGCAATTGTGTGTAAATGAGGCAGAAAGTCAGGTCAGCAACCTGGGTCTTGGTCACAATTTTCGTGATGCTATATGGCAGCAGGGTCTACCATTAGACAACACATTATGGTTTCAATATCTTCCCAGGTGGTTGTATCTTCCTGTTTGGTAGCTGCCTACTACAGCAAACTCCCTCTAATTTGGGCTAATTGGGGGGTGATGCCTGTCCAGTTTTGCTCAAACTCCGGATTAGGAAAACGTGTGCAAAAAAAATAGAAAAAAATTTTCATCTAATCTTCTCCCAGTTCCCAAGGCTAATGATAGCAGCTCAGTTGCTGCCCCTCAAGAAGTTGCTGAACTTTTTGCCACAAAATATACAGGGGTGTCTTCTATGGCAGCTTGATCCTTAAAAGTTCAACTGGGTGTGTAAAGTAGAGGAGTCACAGGCCCTGGACATTCATTATGTTCTCAATTAAAGAAATGAGAACCATCCTCTCACTCACTGGAGATACATCACCAGGGCCTGATAATATCCCATTTTCAATCCTCCACCACCTTGAAGTTGAGGATCTGGCAAGAGGGCACCTTCCCGGCCTCATGGTAGGAGGAATACTGTCCTGCCTTTCAAGAAGAATGGAAAAGAGGGTCTTTACCCGCTAGAATACCACCCCATAGCTCTGATCTCCTGTATCAGCGATCTGTTTGAAAATATGGTTTCTGGAAGATGCATTCAACACCAGATGCTTTTGCTCGCCGCCAGCTTCTCGTCTGTGTTTTCTTCGACCTAGAGAAAGCATATAGAGATTTGGCATCCTTAAAGAGCTTCACAATTTGGATTGCAGGGAAATTTATCGTCAATAATAGATCAGTTCTTGGGATACTGAGGGTTCCTCAGGGCTGTGCCTTGAGTGTGACCCTATATTTCCATCACAATAAATGGGGTAGCAGCATCGGTTTCAGGTGGTATATCAATCTCATTGTATGTAGACAGCTTGGCCATTTGGTATGCAGCTTCTTGCATGTCAGTGACTGAGCGTCACATGCAAATTAAACAAAACGGGGTTTCACATTGAACCACAAAGCATGGCTTTAGTTTTCTCCCTTGAAGACCGTTGCCATGCATTTCAGCCGCCTTCTAGGCGATCACCCAGATCACGATCTATAGCTCAATGATCATTGCGTGTTAGGTGTCACAGAGACCTGTTTCCTGGGCATTATCTTCAACAACCGGCTTACGTGGCAGCCACACATTCATTACCTCACAGAGTCTTGCCAGCGTGCTCTCAAGTTACTGAGTCTTGGGGCACACCTCATGGGGTGCTGACCGATGAACTCTGCTACATCTTTACCACATGCTAGATAGACCCAAACTGGATTGTGGGTGTGAGGTGTACTCCTCTGCCACTGAGACTTAGACTCAATACACTGAACTCTATTCATCATGCTGGGGTGTGCCTGGTGACTGGTGCCTTCAGGTGTTTACCAATCCTAAGTCTACTAGTTGATGCTGATGAGCCACCCCTTGATCTTCAACATCAGTATCTCCAGGTCCAGTGTTGGTTTTCCCTCCACTGTGTTCCACAGTCTGTAACCAACACTTGTGTAGTTGACGAAACTATGTCCCCACACTAAACTTCAGCATTCAGGCCTCCCATGACCGTTTGGCTTCAGGGTAAGGGAAGTTGTGAATATTATTTGCCTTCCTCCTGTTCAGATATGCCCCATGCGGTTACCGAGTGCTGCTCCGTGGATTCTCCCCCTGAAGTTCAAGTTTGTCAGTATTTTAAAGAAAGGAAGGACTTACTCCCTCCCTATGCAACCCTTCTTTTTTTTAGAGCATGCCTCCTTTCACAGGGGACTATTCCTGTATACACTGATGGCTCTTTAAATCGGATGCAGGGGAAGGTTTTGGGGTGATTTTCCCAAATTCTGTCAGGATGATAGTCTCCCCACTATGGTATCTATTTTTACTGCTTAGCTTTTGGGTATTTTACTTGCCCTCAGGATTATTTTTACCCATCCTCATGGTGATTTTACAATTTTTGGTGATTCTTGTAGTACTATCCAGGCCTAGGCTAGTGTTTCATCGCACCATGTAGGGGAGAAAGAGAATGAGCGTGCGGACGCTGTGGCGAAAGTAGCTGCTTCTCATCCTTTGGCACGTCATTCCCCTCTACCTGCCTCTGTTATGAAACCAGTAATAAGAGCTGCCATCCACTCGAGTTGGTAATGCAGGTGGGATGTTGTCAGAGCAAACAAACTACGTAACATCCATCTTGCATTCGGTGCCTGGGGATATCTGGGACTGTCACGCCACTGAGAGACTGCTTTGGCTTACCTCCACATTGGCCACACAATGCTGACTCACGGTTTTTTAATGGAGAGGGCACCCTCCCCCTCCCCATTGTGATTACTGTCTGGTTGCGTTGAATGTTCCACACCAGCTGGAGGAGTGCCCCAGTCTCAAGAGATCTTTGTAGAAAGCAACTCTCCCAGTGCCAGGGGGAAGACGGGCTTTACCGTCTCTCTTTGGTGCTCATCCATTGCCTGCGATGCATCATCTCGTGTTGTGTTGAATAGTATAGTGTTTCTGTGTGAAATGGTCCCTAAAAGACCGACTAGTTTCAGTGCTAGTGATGCTAGTGGAGTGAAACATTTAGACCTCAAACCCAAGAGGAAACAACTACCAATCATGATGATTTTCAAGAAAGAACCAGTCACTCGCCCAGCTGACTCAAATCCCTTCACCTACTTGGTCAGCTACTGCCACTGCTCCACCACCCACCTCCCCTTGCCGCTCCACTACCTGCCTCCCCATCACACACCTCTTCACCAATCACCACTGCATCAACCTCTTCCAACAGTGATCCTGATGATCTCCCTATACTTTAGTAACCAGGGTTCATACTGTACAGTACACTCCATCAAGCTCCAAACTTCCACATACAAAGGAGAGTAGTATTGGTGACTTATGTTTCTTATGCACTCTAGTCTACAGTAGTGCACTAAGGTAGTATACAAGTTGCTATTCGTGGTTTTGCCAAATCACGCCATTCCTTGGAACCTAACCCCCCACGAATAGCAAGGGTTTACTGTATTAATGTCTTATTTATTGAGGTTTTACTGTAATGGGAAAGTGATAAACGAATCTTACAAATTACTTGTGTGTTTCATATAGCATACATTATTGCTGAACTATAATATACCCATTAATAAAAAGTAAAACCATATAGTACATGTCAATAATAAAGTACTGATTAACCCATTAAAGAGCAGATCCACACTTATATTCTGACTAACCAACCCCAGATGATTTTATTCAGCTGAGAGAAAGCCCCTGCCCCCCAGGGGGTTAATTATTCACTTATCATGAATAAGCCGAGTCTTGAAGTGAGGAGGCAGTTGAAACAGGTGATTGTACGAAACTCACAATATACGCCACTGAAGATGGAACGGAGGTTATGTTTTCACTGATGATTTAATTGAGTGCGTGTACTATACACTTTAGTGCTTCTCAGCAATCGCCTCCACCACCTACCCAGAAACAACTGCTGAGTTACCCTCCTGTGCCACCACAGTGACTGTCCCCCACTTACTCAAACTTTCCCCCATACTAACAGGCTTTTGCTCATGTATTTCTGGGTTGAGGATAGAGGAGTCCAGTGCTGGACCCCAGTCCAGTTTACTACGGGGTCTAGATTAAGTGAGTCCTGGTTAGAGAGAGCTTACCATACAGTACCTTCAATCCCTAACATCTGACAGTGAATTCAGTTAATTAAGATACCTGGCCTTTACACTATCATTAAATCAACAGATCTGAGCTAAAAATCTCACCAATATATGCCAAACATTTTCATTGGCTCCCTCAAATGAACAGAAGCGGATGGAGACCCCAAGCAACCCTTGGCCACCCCAGAGGTTGGATGGTGTTATGTTCACAGTACGGATGGTCTGAGTCTTGCTGCTGTACACTGTCATCTTCAGTTCTTTCTCAATTGAGTTTTTGAGTAGTTCCTTAAGTGTATCATTGTCCTGGTCCTGAAAATTAAAAAAGTCTTAGAAATATAATTATAGACCTAAAATTATATGGGGTATATATCCAGTACTTTAGGCAAGACAGGTCTATGCATTAAATTTTAACCAAGATTAATTTGGGTTTATTTAATGGAACATGGCAAATTTTAGATGGCATTTGGAATGGATATAATTGAGTTGAATAGTTAGTGCTCAGATGATGGAGCAAACTTGTCGTCAAAAGACAACTTGAAGAAGGCCAAGTCTATTTATCTTTGATTCAAATATAATTTTGTGAGGAAATTACCTTCACATAGGAAGACCTCTAGACAAAGCATTATACAGTTACCTTGATTAATGATAAGTCATCAACCTACTTATAAAAACAAAATTTGAACATCTTATCTCAATTGAAGAAAAAACTAAATCCACAAGAATCAAATGTAAGAAACCAAAACATATAATTTATTTTTTAACTTCTTTATAAAACCAACATATTTATAATTTATCAACACTCTCTACAAACAGTATTTATAATAACAAGTACTGTATCTATACAGGTGTACCCCGAAAACCGAACCCCCCCCCCATAACCACCGCTTTGCACAACCAATGATTACATATAGGGAAAATATCCCACAAGTTCCATTGATACCCCCAGATATCCAACGATCGGAAAAGGAGTGGCAGAGCTGTTTTGAATTTGGTGGGCAGTGGCATGGTGCAAATTCTTGCCACCAGAGAGTATCTGCATGTTGCCTCCGACTCATTCCCACCATCTCTGCTCTTGTTTACACATACCGTGTGTCTCTGACTTCATGTTTTTTCGTTATTTCCAACTTTTTGTGTTATGCAGTCATGCCTTAACACCCCAGTGATAGTTCCTCTTGTGCTGGGCAGCTTGATGTGATGTGATAAGGCATAAAAAGAGTGGTGATGGACCAGCAAAGATTGGAAGAAGCTTCAACTTGTCACCCTAGGGCAGGGGTTCTTAACTTGGGGTCCACGGACCCCCAAGGGGTCCATGGATGGGCTTCAGGGGGTCCGTGAAGGTCAGATAAAAATTTTACATTTATATTCACTATATTTTTATATTAAGTTGCTCTATTTTTGTCAATATATACCAGATGTTATGTATGTATTTTTGGTTTCTGAAGAAAACCAGTAAATCTGTAGGGCGGCATGGGATGCTACTGTACACGGTCAGGTAACATACAATCGTCATCGTCATCAGGTATTGACTTCTAGAATGGTTTCCCATTGAAAGAAATTAAAGAAAATGTACCCTGCCACTGCTTATAGCGCTAAGCGTCTCTGGTGGCCCATGTTTACCATTTAAATTGGTAGCATCGTTCTCTTCAGCCACTCTATATCAAGTGCTTATTTCTCATTTTCTACGGTTTATCACGGCTTTGGAATCTTCTCATATACTGGTAAGGCTTAACTGAGGGCCATAGCATCTTCAAACACATACTTTTTCCTAAATATATTCAATTACCTGTAGTTATGTTTTTGGTGAAGGTAGCGAAAGAGGGCCTTAGTTATTACTACTACAGCTGTACCAGCCGAGGTTGGAGACCTACGACCGCCTTCTGACCACAACTTCAGAGTGTGGCTGAAGAGTGATGGGTGTACAGTGTGTGAATATGTGTTTGTGCATATGTGGGTGCATATGTAGAAAGGCACGTGCGAGTGTTGTAAAAAATCAAGAACGGTTGGTGAGCTGTATTTATTTGTTTTATCCATTATTTACAACAAGTCTGTTATTATTTACTGATCAAAGTTAGGGACTGGGTGCACGTAGTTAGAGTAGGGATGTGTAAATAGATAGAGAATGGATAAAGTTAGGGTCTGGGTGCATCAGTAGGGTAGGAAAACAAGAAGTCATCAGTCAGTATCATTCATATATTTTCTGAGGGGAACTTAGAGAAATCCGTAATAATGCTACTGAAAATAGGGTTATCTGTCTGTCTGTCTCTCTGACTGTCTGTGAAGGTTTGTCCATCAGTCGGTCTGTCTGTCTGCCTGTCTATCTGTCGTGCTTATTAATTTGTGTTCATTAGTTACTGCTTTCCATATAAATTACATAAAAAAATTTTGTTTTGCAAGCCTAGCTCAATTTGGAAATGTCAAAGAAAAGGAAGTACAACGAAGCTTACTTATCCTTTGGTTTTACTTTCATGGCTGAACGTGATGGGACACAAAAGCCGCAGTTTCCTGTGTGGCAAGGTTCTTGCCAATGGAAGCATGAAGCCAACAAAGCTGAAGGAGCACCTCACGTCTGTCCATCCTGAAAATGCATCAGACAGTGTTGATCTATTTCGTGCAAAGAGGGCTCGATTTGAGAAAGCTGGAACTTTACCAAAACTTGGTTTGCCCCAACACAAAAGCCTTGTCTTGAAGCATCCTACAAGGTTGCTTATCGCATTACCAAGCAAAAGAAGCCACATACGATTGGAGAGACCTTGGTAAAGCCATGTGCCCTGGAAATGGTCGAGCTGATTTGTGGCTTGGAGCAAAGGAAGAAAATTGCAGCAGTGCCTTTGTCACATGACGTCGTCCACTCTAGAATTGTTGACATTTTTCTAATATTCTGAAGCAAGTAATGGAAGAATTGGCAGCTACGCCATTTCCGTTCAGCATGCAACTGGATGAAACTACTGACGTCTCTCAGTGCAGCCAGCTCCTGGTTTTCGTTTTTTATATGCATGCTGATGCCATCAAAGAAGAATTCCTATTTTGTGAGCCCCTTTTGGAAACTGCAAAGGCCATCGACATCTTAGAAATGGTGAATAGTTTCTTTGCCAAGCAAAACTTCGACTGGAAGAAAAATTTTGGTACTCTGTGCACAGACGGAGCACCTGCGATGCTTGGCAACACATCTGGTTTTGCTGCTTTGGTGAAGAAAGAAGCTCCTCAGGTCATCATGACCCATTGTTTTCTACATCAGCATGCATTGGCGTCAAAGACTCTGCCAGCAATTCTGAAAGAAGTCTTGTCTACTGGCGTGAAAGTCGTCAACTTCATCAGAGCCAGGGCTGTGAACCATCGCATTTTCAAGAGGTTTTGTCAAGAAATGGGAGCAGAATATGAAGTTCTTCTCTACCACACAGAAGTTCACTGGCTTTCCAGAGGACAAATCTTGAAGCGCTTGATTGAACTTCGAGCAGAAGTTTCACTTTTTTTGAGAGAAAAAGAAAGCCCACTCTCAGAACAGTTTGACAGTGAGGAGTTCATTCATGGCTTGGCCTACTTGGCGGATATTTTTGGCCATATGAATGAGGTGAATCTTGCGATTCAAGGCCCTGGAGTCACCATTATGGATGCTGCTGAAAGATTGCAAGCTTTTCTGGCCAAGCTGCCACTGTGGAAGAGGAGGTTGGAGGCAGACAACTATGCAAGCTTTCCAATGTTAGAGGAAGTGCTTCGGTAGGATGGAATCGAGAGTGACAAGGCCCTGTCAATTTCTCTGCAGGCAGAATTCTGCAGACATCTGGATACTCTGCAGAACTCTTTCAAAGGTTACTTCTGCTCAGGTGACCTTAAAGTTGAAACATGGGTTCGTAATCCTTTCCTTGCCGACATACTGTGTCAGTGATGAAGACCTTGCCAAAGATGACCTCATTGACCTGAAGACAGAGGAAATGTTACGAAATGAATTCAACTCAAAGAGCCTTGGAGAATTCTAGTGTGTGTTGACACAAGCCTACCCTCGTCTGGTAAAGCGAGCTATGGGTGCTCTGATTCCGTTTGCTACTACATACCTTTGTGAGTTAGGGTTGTCAGCCCTTGTTTCTATCAAAACTAAAAGTCGAAATCGATTGGATGTCAAAGATGACATGCGTGTTACCTTGTAAAAGACCACTCCACAGTTTCATCTTCTTATTCAAGCCAAACAACAACCACCTTCTCATTGAAATGAACTTTTGAGCAGAATTAAAGCTTTGTTTTGTTTAATCTGCACAAGATGATTGTATTTCATTTTTGTCTGGAGTGGCCATTAATTTTTGCATAAAAAAGTGTGAAACATAATTCTTTGTTAAGATTGTTTACTTTATTCAGACTTTGTGTATGTCATACACTGTATCAGGCAATGAATTTTCAATAAAATAAAGAATATTCATTGCATGCATAGTTGTGCTCATGTGCTTATGTGCATTTTTCTAGGGAGGGGGTCCATAGCTTTCACCAGATTCTCAAAGGGGTCCGTGACTCAAAAAAGGTTAAGAACCACTGCCCTAGGGCCTAGACTGTCTCTACCATTCTCAACACAGGTAAATAACAGTCTCAATTTATGCTTTACATTGCTTAAGGATAATTATGCTTGCTTTATTTTCTTGCTTGACAGTGTGCATGACAAAGATGTGTCAAGGGTAGATGGGAGGTTTTGGAGGATGGTCGGTCTATAACCCCCTGAATTTATGTTCTTATGGGATTAACTGCTTCGATAACTGTTGATTCGCTAACTAATAACTTTTCCTGGTCCCTATAGGAGTCGGTTATCAGGGTACACCTGTATAAACAATCGGATAGTACCTAAAACCCTTGGCTCTGAAAACAGAAACAAGAAGGAGCTACTTTTCAAGGTAGTCAGTCTGTGTGTCACTATGTAGCACACATCTAAAATAAACTGAGAAAAAATATTGATCAAAGGATATGTTTTTTTTATTATACCTAATCCATTAATGGCTCAAACAGGATTTGCAAGATGCCATGTTTTGTGCCCTGGGACATTGATACACACTAAACTCAACCCCTCGAATAAGAACCCACATTATACCAACCTGTGATACATTATCAAATAAAGGTTCATATAGAAAAGGTGTTAATGATTATAATCAATGATAAAATTTACTTAACAGTACTAACATTAGGGTCTACAATGAGTAAATAACATGTACACTACTGTACTGTACAGTATTGTTCTTACCAATCTTGTGTTGCCAATGGAGACTACAAAGTCAAAGAAAGCTTCTAAACCAGCAAGTTGGCCTGGAGAGTTCTCCTGCACCTGTAAATGTATTTAAATATCATTATGACCTAATAGTTACTCCATCTTATGGCCATTTTCCACACCTGTGCTTACCTGATGGCATTCCGGTTGGGATGTAATTACCACAATTAATCAATCAATCTGGTTGTCAATGGGTAAATCTGCAACAAGTTTTATGGCTGGATGCCCTTCCTATTACCAATCCACTTTTACAAAGTGAGAATAATGAAGCAAAATAAATTATAAGTTTAAAGTTAATATCTAGTCATAACAATACAGTACTACAATTACAGTATTACCCCGCCTAACGCGGTTTCACTTAACGCGTTTTATCATATACGCGGTGCCTCGCCAGAGCTGAACTTTCACTTAACGCGGAATTTTTCATCATATACGCGGGAAGCGGCGCGGGCACGATGCGCACAAGGTCGCCCAGTCATCAAAACATTACCGAGTTCTTCACCCGCCACCCACCACAGCCGGCCCAAGTCAGTGATAGTGATAATTATAGTGAGGATATGGACTTATATGGCCTTTGAGGGGTTTGACAAAGAGGCCCTGCAAGCCTCTGTGGTGGATAGTGATACAATTGATACAAGTGATACAGGTGAGGGCCAATAATCTGCCCTCTGCCTCGGAACCAACCCCCCATCCCCGTGTGCCCAGCCATCTTTTCTACTAATGCAAGTGTTAAAAAACCTAATATTATTGATATTTCTCTTAATTATTAATTGTGTGTGCATACCATCATAAAGTTAAGATAAAATTTTTACTACAACATAGTTGTGTGTCGTCAAAAAGTGGAGTTTGGGGGTCGGGCCAGTCTCTATTGGAATTAATCCCATACGTTCTGTTGTTCACTTAACGCGGTTTTCACTTAACGCGGTACCCTGTGGGTTCAATTGACCGCATTAAGCGGGGTACTACTGTATGTACTGTAGTAAAGGATCATCAGCGACAAAATATACAGTAAGCTTGGGGCATCAAGGGGTTGATTTAGCCTAATCATCTGCATTGATAATCATTGTAACACACATAAAACTACACCCTATTATATGCAGACATTCTTTTAGTTAGCTACCCAAGAAAAGTACAAAGGGTAAACGGTGAATGAACTACAGAAAATCATATTTTTTATATTCTTATGTAGTTTGTGATGTTATCTGTTTATGGCTGTATTAGAGGCAGGCTACAGAGCTAAACCATTTAAGACAGTAGTCAACACACACTGGATCATTAGATTATGTTAGGTTAGTTATTGTCACACTATAAACATTACTGTTTAAAGTAATTTTTCACTCTTGCATAGGTACAGTATGGTATATCATTATTACCTGATGAATGGTGTCCTGGTTACCATCACGTTAACTTGAAGCAAGATTTACAGCTGGTTGCCCATCATATCACCAACCCACTTTTAATGAGTGGGAACTGGGCATTACAGTATGTATATATAGGACTTCCAAGTGCCCTCTTAGCTGGTAAGGGAAGATCGCAACTCCCTGAGGTAATTAAAGATTACCGTATCTACCTACCTGAAAAATCCTTAATAAAGGGGACCCTCAGCACTTCAGCAAAAGGAATCCCTAAGAAACTTCAGTTTGAACTGGGACCTTCAGATTCCACCAAGCGGGTCTCCTAGTTGGGTTCAGCCTGGTGACCATCAGTCCCCCAGGCTGGCCAATTTTGGCCATGTCATAAACAGTTTAGCACCAAATCCTCCCTGAACAAACTGTCTTTTCCAAAGTTCTCATTGTTTTCAATCGTGTCATTAAACTCTGTCACACAAAAACAAACTAAATAAAACCTAAACAAACTGAATCACATGAATATTAATCACACCAGCTCATTTCACCTGATGATTAAACACTAAGCATTTGGGTTTAAGCATCAGGCAAAATAATCTGGGGGACTAATCTTCATGTGGGGTAAGGAAACTGTGGCCCCGCCACCGACGGTCTCAAGGTGGCCTGTGATCATACTCGAGTACAGTGTTTTTCTCTGTCTTTTTTAAGTGGAGACTCAGGGGTGTATAGTACTAGTCAATAGATTTTGGATGAAATTTAGAGGATAAATATACAACACCATAAGACTGACTTATAATAGCAGAACTACACTGAGATGATGTTCCAAGGTAGCGCTCACACAGTATATTATTATTAATATAATCTTTAATTTTAATCTGGCCCTTGGACCTCAAAAGTTTCCCAACCCCTGCCCTAAATCTAACCTAAAACTAGGCCAAGGTTATTCCCTTATTTTGTACTGTATTGGTTTATGTCTTCTAATGTTAGAAATGACTTAGTCTACAGACTACAGTGTCTGACGCCAAGGTAAACAGATGAAACCACAGATAGCAAGTCCTCGAAATCCATTCGTTAAATGAACAGTCTCTCATACAAATATAATTATGATCATGTTTTGTTCTTTTCAACATAATATGTTCCACTCACAAAAACAGTTTTTTCTAACACACTGCCATTAATTGGCAAAATGTAAGAATTTAAACAACTAAGTGCTGGAAAACAAACACTGCATGGGTGTGTTGTGCAGTGCCCTCCCATATTGCATCTTGTGTTGTGTTATGGTTTTACAATGATTATTCATTGAGTAAATATTTTTCACTAATTAATCATTAACGAGTAATAAGCATAAAGTAAGAACCAGTAACCATGGTTGTTTATATTATTAATTTACTCATTATTGTTTATTTCAATAACTGTTTTCACTTGTATCTGAGGACTCATGAATCATTTATACTGCATCATTCTTTCAATGTGATTTATTGATCTGGTTTACAAGCAAATTTTCAAGAACATTTTAAGTTCACAAGCTGAGGACTGTCTGTACTGTATTATGCATTAAACAAAATATCACATAAGACATTGTCAAAATAGTCCAATTCATAAGGAGGTGGCAGTCCAGTATACCTTTACCTTACACTATGACATAAAACAAGGTACAGTTGGGTCTTCATTTACGTGGTCAATTGAACCCGCGGAGTACCGCGTAAAACAAGAAACGTGTAAATGAAATAACAGAACATATGGGATTAATTGAAATAGAGACTGGGCCGACCCCCAAACTCCACTTTTTCCGACACAATCAACCTTGTAGTCAAAATAACACCTTAATTTTATGATGGTATGCACACACAATTAATAATTAAGAGAAATATCAATAATATTAGGTTTTTTAACACTTACATTAGTAGAAAAGATGGCTGGGCACACGGGGATGGGGGGTTGGTTCCGAGGCACAGGGCAGATTATTGGCCCTCACCTGTATCACTTGTATCAATTGTATCACTATCCACCACAGAGGCTTGCAGGGCCTCCTTGTCAAACCCCTCAAAGTCCATATAAGTCCATATCCTCACTATCACTGACTTGGGCCGGCTGTGGTGGGTGGCGGGTGAAGAACTCGGTAATGTTTTGATGACTGGGCGACCTTGTGCGCACCCTGCCTTCGCCGCTTCCAGCATAAATGACCAAATTTGCCGCGTAAATCAAGCATTTCAATTCTGGCAAGGCACCGCGTAAATGAAAAAACGCGTAAATCCAGACTCAACTGTACTGTATACTATACAGTAGTATACTGTTGCGACCATGTATTTATAGTAACTTTCACCATCATCAATGTTTTATGGCTATTTTCCTCACTTGCGTGGGTTACCTGCGATTACTTTATGGCAAAATCTGATAAGAGGAATGATAGCACAATCATTCAGTTAAAAATTATCCATAAAAAAGTTTCAGAACCTCACCAAGAATTATAAGAAATGAATCTTCCCTTCACGATAACACTTCAGACCCAAAACATGAAATAAAATACAATAGCATCAGAAACTTATGATATATAAAATAAAATGAAATACAATATTGAGTAGCTACATAATGCCTTGCAAATGTTGTTTTACTATTTTTCCTGAGAAGTTCCTCCACATACAGTACAGCACAGTACAGTATGCCTCCCCCCCCCCCAAGTTTGTGGATATTTACTTTCCTTTATCTGTATTGTAAACATGTGTGTGTGTGTGTGTGTGTGTGTGTGTGTGTGTAGACACACACACATACAAATAAAGAATAATGGGAAAATCCTCTCACTAATTATCAGAAACAAATTTATTAAAAATGTGAGTCTACCCTCAAGTCCGTGCTCTATGAATTAAGTAATAAAGCATGCACTTGAGGGTAGACTTACATTTTTAATAAAATGTTTCTGATTATTTGTGAGAGAATTTTCCCATTATTATTTATTTGTATGCGTGTGTGTGTGTCTATACACACACATATACAATACTACAGGTAAAAGAAATAATTGTCCTAAGGGCAAACACAAAGGGAATATACATTTCTTTGTACACAAGTAAAAATGTACCCCCCCCCTCCGTCCGCAAATGTTATTCGCGGCCAATTTGAGAACCTAACCCCCGTGAATTTGGGGCCCCCCCTGTACTGTATATGCTGAGGAACTTTTCAGTAGCTACTGTAAATGCTTTCTTACCTCATGAAATCCAAGAAAAACACACAAGTACCCAGTAATATGTTTTATGTGATATAAATTTTTTAAATTTTGCTTCAATTAATGGATGCAAGCAGTGCCCCCAACTGAAATCTAAAACCATATTGTCTTGGTGATTGTGTGTATGTACAGCAGACCTAACAAATTATTTTCTTATAAATTTGTCTTGGTTTGGTTAGGTATAGTATTTTAGGTGAGGTTAGGTAGGTTAGTTTGGTTAATTTTATGAACCACATATTACACACAGTAATAGCACCTGATACTGTACTTCATAAATGTCAGAAGTTGCCAAGACTGACTGTAGATAATTTATTATTCTGAAATAAACCACTTAACTAAACCCAACCTAAATTACTACAATTCCATATAACTACTGTATGGGATCCTTCCAACAGGGCACTGTTGTATACTTTTACTGTTAGGTCAGGTTACTTTAGTTCATGTCATCTTTCATTAACCCTTAAACCCCAGGTTAGGGTGCTGCTGGTAGTAACCCCCCCTCCACCCCCACCCCCCTGAATAATTTGATAAAAAATCAACTTAAAAAAATAAAATAAATAAATAAAAATATAAAAAAAATGGCAGGAATAAGAGGACGTTCTGAAACGTCACCCAGGGTCTAAGGGTTAATGACAATAGGTCAGTACATGCACTCTAAAATCTCACATACCTATTAATCTCAACAACTGCCGGTTGCTCTTTCCATGCATAATACTGTAATGTGATTTTAAGTAGACAGTGGCTAAATTATTAGGCATGGTAAAATAGCCTGACAGGCTGTTTTGGGCTATTTTACAAGGTCCATTGTTTATGTAATTGAAGTAAGGATATAATAGTATTTATTGTATTATCAACCATGTATTACTAATTAAGTTATCCTAACCAACCAATCATACCTAACCTTACCTACTAGCTAACTTCCTAACAGGGGGCCCCCACCCCCCAGCATATTAAATATCTTGGTTCTAGGCCATTTGCGAGGGAAACATCATAGAAGAAAAGTGTCTTATAAAGTTGTCTTAGCTATTGAGTGCAGAGATAAAAAATTTTGAGATCTGGACAGTGGCAACAAATGCACTAATACCTTCACTAGTAGTTTTTTTTTTCAACTCACGACATCTTGGTTATGTTTAAAAAGCACTGAAAGTTTTTGTCTGAAATTATCATTACACAACTGACCCACAGCTCGGCTTTACCTGCTCTCTGGGTGGCGAATTAGCTAAACAATTACAGTTCATTATATCCCATCCCCATGGATATAATTCCTTGTTATCCCTCATCTAGGATAATGTATATATAAAAAGTAATAATTTGTTGTACATAAATATCAGGTCATTTTTCTTTACATAATACAATAAATACTGTTACTGTATTGTATATTATTACAGTACAGTTCCTCCCCAACTTACGACCTACTCGAATTACGACCACCCGGACATACGACCGCCTCAGTCGTACCAAAATTTTTTCAAATTGTGTATTTTCGACTCCCAACGTCAGTGATTGCGCTGTGTACTGACAAAAGTTTCGTTTGTAATTCACTTTAAAATGGCTGGCAAGCTTAAAAGTGAGATTTTTGTGGTACTGAGAAGAAAAAGAAACGCCCAATTTAGATTTTCTAAGTATTATTTAAGCATTTTCGACTTATGACCTGGATTTGGGTCCCTAACCCAGTCGTAAGTCGGGGAGGAACTGTACTGTACTTTGGTAATTTCTGAAAACAGCACACCTTCAGAAGGCATTGTTCAATTTCATTAAATTTGTCCACATATGTTCTTATCATTGTATAGGTATTAAGTATTTTAAAAGTAGCAACAACTTTTTATGTTAATTATATATATATATTTTTTTTTAGATTTCCTCTAAATACGATCAGACATCACCTGTGGTGGGCAGGGCATGAAGGATGAGGGAAATTGCGGGGTAAACCACAGTTAAACCTGATCACATGACATTTAAATGATGTCTCTACAATACACAGGCATTGTATGTGAAGAAATTAATTATATACCGTTAATACTCCTCCGAAAAATCTGCCGAGTCACCAAGTATCGTCTGTTTCTTTTCAACCGACCCTCTCAGTCAGAGCGTAATCTCACGTCCACAAAAAACATAAAATTACACCATGCTGCTTCAACAAAGTTGCTTTCATTGGTATCAGATATCAAAGCAAGTACTTTTTGTTTAATATGGTTTGGGATCTGCCCCCAGCTAAAAGGTTAGGTAGGTTTCTTTGGTTGGTTAGGTCAGGTTCTATTGGGTTCTAGTAAACGTCAACTCTTTTGAAATACTTACTATAATAAGAACATCTGTGGAAAAAATTTACAAAATCGAACAACTCTTTCTGGTGGTAGTGCTGTTCTCAAACATTACCATTATACTTGTTACATAAACAATGGCTCGGCAAAATAGCCAAAAAATAGCCTGTCAGGCTACTTTGCAATGATCGGTAATGTAGCCTCTTTGTTTTAAGTACTATGTATATCTTAACTTCAAATTCTTGTGTGTGCTCAACAGATATCAACTCACGAATACATAAAGTTTCTAGTACGAGACACTGCTTGTTTATTACATTAAGCCTTTACACTGACGTGTACTACTGCCCTTTGTCTCATCAGATTTATGAATAATTTATGAAATAGGCAACACAAACTGGGAATTCTAATTTTTCACATACATATAACTACATAATGTGATTTTAAACATTAAGCTAAACTCATCTGACATTCCTCCCCTAACTTAGGTCAACTTGTAGTTTCAACCAACCATGGCTTTCAAGTTGAGCAAAGAGTAAAATTATCATTTCGGTCATCCAGCGATTTTTAGGATTTTAAGTTTCCACTCGTATTTTTAGGATTTTAAGTTTCCGTCACATTCTTTCTAAGTTGTTGGAAGTTGAAATTTATGTTTTTCTGATGGTTTTTGAGGTGTTTTGAATGAATCCAACCTTTATTTCTAACGCTTATCACACCAAACCCAACAAAACCTCACCTAAACAAATCTAGGTAAAATTATAATTTTGGTTACCCAGCAATTTTTAGGATTTTAAGTTTTGGAATCAGTAGTGCTTACCTTACTCAGAAGACTCCTTCCACAGTACAACAGATGTTTGTCAGCTTTATAGCTACAGTGCTGGTTACAGTGTTCATGGAGAAATTTCAACGCCTCGCCATCCTTACAGCAATATTCAACATGAAATCTGGCAATGGCTTGCAAATAATCAACATCACAGCCATTGTACAAGGGAGACATCTTGGAAATAAATTACAATTCAAGGGGGTCACGGCGGGGGGAAGGGGCTATACCGAGCTGTGATTGGTCGATTCAAAACCATACCCACCAATTAACGTCTAAAGAACAACAGCGCATGTGCCAGACTTTAGCGCATGCAGAATACAGCATACTAACCAACACATAGGAGCTCTCTGAGGCGGTGGTAACATTAACAAGAACTTAAAAAAAAATAAGATTTTCCACAAATTTATTGCGATTTTCTCTGAATGTAATCATGAGCGGAAGAAATGTTACAGAAGAAGTGTCTTAGAATTGCCTAAACTACTGATTCCAAAATTCAAATTCTGAAATTGCCTGGTTGACTTTAACAATAAATACCGAACAATTTGTTTTTCCGGTGGTTTAGACAATTTTAAGACAATTCCATGACATTTCACTCACAAATGACTTAAAAATACAGGGTGATCCAGAGGGGGCGGAGTTCCCCGGTTAGGCTAGGTAATTTTAAGTAATTTGCAAGGGTAATAACATGGAAGAAGGGTGTCTTAAAATTGTCTAAGCCACTGGAAAAACACATTGCTCAACTCGAAAGCCATGGTTGGTCGAATCTACAAATTGACCCTAACTTATCCTCACCTAACCAACAATCCCAATATTAATGTGGTTACAAGACATAAAATACGTATTAGAAGAAGCCCAACACCTGGCAGCTCCTGACGACACCCACCAGAAGGTTCATTCATTCTCTTCAGTACATGTAAAGACAAAATATTAAGGCACATATTCAATACCACATGTTGAAAATAAATTACACAGACTCATCAGCGCGTTATAAATGATCTGTTAACCTCAATAGGAAGATTAGTGAGCAGGTTAAGAGTATAGGCGGGGTGAAAGACATTGTATGAAGATGCTCTGAGCTCGTCACTTTTCACCTTACCCTGAGCACATGGTAACCCTCCATGCCTCCTCCGGGGATTTCCACACTCTGTGATCCTCCCATAGTGGCACCTGCTCCCTGGCGACCTAATAGTTTGTTCACTCTCGCTCACCACAACCAATTTGACAACAGCGACCTAAAAGGCAAAACAGACGTGGCACCCGACGAGGAATTGTGGGTAAACAGCTGATAATCCTGACTTGTACATGGAAGAAAATAATATATTCATCTTCAACAAGCTAATTTATCGTTCTTTTATATAAAAAAAATAACAATAATATATCATTTTCTTTACATAATATCTAACTGAAATATATACTTGTCTGTAGTCTTTTGGCTCCATTTTCTATCCTACATTATTTGACGTAGGAAATGCTCGAGGGAGTTTTGACATTTGCTAAATGCCGGGTCAAAATTATGGTGATTTATTATTGAAAACACTTGATAAATTTACAATGGCGAATATTGTAGTTTTACTTTGTAGTTAAATATGGATTCTAATATTTATAATTAATGAGTCTTAGCTAGATTATGTAAGCAGTTACCATGGTAGCCAGAGAGATGATATTCAAACACTACTAACACTACCGTTACAGTACCGCTCCACTACCAAAAAACGTAATTAACACTACCATAACCACACTACTGCTACTAACACAAGCAATACTACTACAATACCACACTACTACAACTAACGCTATGCTCTTCGCCACTGATTGGCTTGTTTTAGTCGTTACACTGGCCACGACAGTACCACACCACTACTACCAATACTAAAAGTTTCACTACCGCTCTACCACTATTAATACTAACGCTACCAGTCTACGACTACTCTTAGCTCTTAAGACTAGTACTACCACCACTACTACTGCTAACACTAACACAACCAGTCGACCACTACTACTGCTAACACTAACACAACCAGTCGACCACTACTACTGCTAACACTAACACAACCAGTCGACCACTACTACTGCTAACACTAACACAACCAGTCGACCACTACTACTGCTAACACTAACACAACCAGTCGACCACTACTACTGCTAACACTAACACAACCAGTCGACCACTACTACTGCTAACACTAACACAACCAGTCGACCACTACTACTGCTAACACTAACACAACCAGTCGACCACTACTACTGCTAACACTAACACAACCAGTCGACCACTACTACTGCTAACACTAACACAACCAGTCGACCACTACTACTAACACTACTACCATTACAGCACCACGTCACTACTACTAACTGATGTAGAATGAAAACAAGCGAGCTGGCCCTTCTTTAGGCTTTATTCAACATAAAACATGTCGTAATTTCAATTTTTCACCAGAAGCATCTGGCAAGTGTCACAAGTATATACAGTACAGTATAAATATTATAAAGGGGGCTTACTAAAGCCTAAGGAAGGGAGGATATTTCTTTAACACATTATCAATATTATTTACATTGTATCTGGCCAGTATGGGGAGGATCATCGTGTCTCCGTCAGGGGGTCGTGGAGTGGTGGTCCAGCAGGCGTCACGGAAGCGTTGTGTGTGGGGACATCTTAGGAGGTAGTAGATAAGGGTGCAACTGTCGGGTCTTCTGCATAATGCACAAGAGCGTTGCTCAGGGGATGCGGGGATACCAATCTCCCAAGCAAAGTCATACCCAATGATTATACGGGCAGCAATCACGTCCCTTTTCCGCGACCCTTTCCCATAGACATACGAGAGGTCAGGAAGTTTACGGAGGACATCATACCAGGTGGGCGGGGAGTCCAGGGGGATGGCTGCTTCTCAGGCTTCTCTCTGTTTGCGGCGAATTTGGGTCCTAAGCTGTAAAAGTGTTCGAGGAACAACGTAGTCAGGTGTGGCCTTGTTGCAGCCAGTCTTGGCAAGGCCATCTGCTCCCTCATTCCCCAAGATACCGACATGACTGGGTATCCATAGGAATGTCACAGGACGGCCTGCATCCTGAAGTGTGGATGTTAACCCTCGTATTCGGAGGATGAGGTCCTTATTTTCCCCTGATCCAAATGCAATCCCGTCGAGAGCAGACCTGGAATCACAGCAGATAAGCAAGGGGCAGAAACCATCTGCTTCCTCCTCAGCGAGAAGGGCAGCAAGGAGGGCTATTAGTTCAGCCTGAGTGGAGGATGCCCCTTCAGAAGCTCTGAGAAAACGTTTGATAGGCTCAGGGGCATCAGGGCGGGAGATGTAGACACCAGTCCCGGCCCGACCTGTAACGGGGTCAACAAAGCCATCAGTGTAGAGGACGACCCTACCTGGGGACCAGTGGGCGATCCTAGAGAGGTGGTATTTGCAGAGAATAACAGGGTTCACTTGGGATTTCGAGAGCGGTCCACCGAGGGCAATCACTTCAGGTTGAAAATACAGCCAGGGAGAAGGAGCAAGGGTGACAACAATATCAGGCAGGAGGTCGTGTTCCTGAAGGGCTCGGATGAGTGACCCTCGCCACTGTCTTCTAGATGGAGGTCGGCCTCGGACAGCAGGAGTCAAGTTGGCTTGGACATAGTTGCCCCGAGGATCCCGTAGAGTGGAAACAGTAGTCTTTAGGTAAAACTCCTGGACACGATCCTGTAAGGGGGAAAGAACAAGTTCGGTATATAGAGAAGTAGAGTGTGTCCACTGAGGAGCCCCAAGGATGATACGAGCAGCTTTCCTCTGGATAACATAGAGACCGTTGACAGCAGTCCGACTGATGTTGACGAGGGCAGGTGTACTGCGCACATCATAGTCATTCCTAAAAAACCCCTCTAATTCATATTACGATACATAACATTCAAATCCACCACGCCTGTAGGAGCTCGGAGAACGGGAAACATTGATAAAGGATAACTCACCTACTCAATGTTACTGAATCATTTGTTGAATTGTACCCAGGTACGGTTATGTAATATTAATTGCATGTATTCATAGCATTAAGGAGAACTCAAAGTATCTATAAGATGATTGGGAAAGTTCAGTTGATCCGGACTAGTGTACTTTAGGACTAAGTGTAGACCGTGGTTTGAAGGTCATATTATTTACGTCTGTGAACGTGTAGCGAACTATGAACACTGAATTAACTAAAGTCGGGACCTGGGTAATACGTAATAAACTGACCTTAAACCTTGAGAAACCCCACTACACAATCTTTCACAGAAGAAAAAACTTACCTCCAGACTTGAACTCCCTGTACCTTGGTAATATAGTCCTCAAATGAGAACAAAATACTAAATTCCTCGGAGTTATTGTTGATGAGAAACTTAACTTGAGAAACCACATACAAGCCATTCACAGTAAAATCAATAAACAGTGCATTATCATGTATCACACTCGACAGTCACTCACTCTCACAGCAATGAAAGAAATCTATCATGATCTTGTTTACCAAAACCTGATACACTGTTACACACTATGGGAGGGGGGGGGGGGCCTCTGGCTCTTCAAAAACACAATCTCTGGTTACTGCACAAAAGAGAGTTGTACGGACAATGACCTACTTGAAAATAACAGATCACACAAACAAAAAATTTGCTATATTGAAATTTTTAAAATTCGAGGATATTATTACTTACTGCTGTGCCCTCTTTGTTTACAAATCTATCAATCACTTACTTGACAATAATTACTTCCAGTTCCGGAATAATCAGAGATACAACTTGCACCCAGAGCTACTAAGACCACCCCCCATGCGCTCCTCTCAGTCCCAGACCTCCATAAAATATCATGGTGTGAAGGTGTGGAACTTACCCCCACACATCCGAGCAAGGACTAAGCTCCCTTCCTTTAAATCATCTCTAAAAAAAATATCTATTGTCGAAGATATTAATATTTCTTGTAACACTTACTATATTTACATTACCTGCTTTTATTGCACCATCAAATCCGTTTTATCAGAAATTATTTATTTAAATAAGTAATCACCATTACAATAAACATAATTGCCAACTAGACATAATCCTGAATGCTGTGTCCTCTTGTTCAACCTTATTCCTGTACAACCCAGGTTGTACTGCTCCCCCATTATACTTATGTTTTTTAATTCCACTCTAATTTATATATATATATATATATATATATATATATATATATATATATATATATATATATATATATATATATATATATATATATATATATATATATATATTAATATTCAGAAATTTCAGAGTAATTTCAAATGCCCCGCCATTAGCGATACTGAGCGTTCAAGGTCATCTGAGGGGAGAGAGCGCTGCCTGCTCATAGCGAGAGATTGCGGAACTAGGCCTATATGATATTAAATGTAATTTACCGAATTAATAATGATGCGATTCATGAAGTAAGGGACTATTATTGAATTTGAAATTATTATAGATCGTTTATCAGTCTGAATAATGTTACGGGTGTCCCAAGGAGTTATTAGTTAGGCGGAAAATATGTCACGTAGGCCCAAGCTAACGCCTTGAGAGGACACGAGGTTGGCTAGGTCTCAGTCGCGGGGAGGATTTATACAAAACAAGACGTCCCTGCGCGTCTGTCACAGAAATAGTCACGTGGCCTAGTCACCTGTGCTGCGCTATGGCAGTATAACAAGTAAGTCTCATTCAATCTCGGACAGGGTTTAGATAGGGTAGTGGTAAAGTTAACTAGAGCTAACAGTGAGTTCATTTCAGGGTTTCCGTCAGAACCCACTTGACTGGAGTTGACCGGAGTTGACCGGAGTTTGACTGCCGTTTGAGACTGCCGTTGATGATTGAGGGTGGCGATTGTCGCCATTGGACCGATCAGAGTAGGCCTGTCACTGTTTAGCGGGGTACCAAAGGATCTCTTGAGGGAATCTAGCCGTCCACCCGGACGGCTCACAACACGTCGGCTCACAACACCACATGTCCCGAGTCGCTGAGTGAAACCCTCTTGCTAACGGGAAGCTAAAGCTCCTCTCAACTGCACAAGGTCTGATTGGCTCACTCTCTTCCTGCCCATGGACGCACTGG